GTGTGGCCAAATGTCCAGTTTCCACACTAGGGATTCCAAAAATAAAAAATACTGGTAGATGATTGAATATTTAATACTTGCTAGGCTTTGGTGCTGATTTTATGATCCTTCAGTGCCCAGTATGCTGCTTTCTATATCTAATGAAATGTTTTCTCTGTATTTGAAAAATAAAAATCTAACTGCTCATGGTGTTTTAATGCAGTGTTCCTGTTATGATCTTTTTAAGTTGTACTTACATATTTCTTTCCTCTTATTTTAAATCCTGTAAGATTAACTTGAAATATTTTCGTGTTTTTGAATTGTGACTTGTTTTGAAGTGGTCCTCTTAGCAGCCTTAAATATGATTGGTCATAGTACAGTTCTGAGGTATCTTTTAATACAATTTATCTGCTTTGTCTGCTTTTCCTTCTAAGTCACCCCTGCAACTCCTAGTCCGGTAAAAGGCAAAGGAAAGGGGCGGGTTGCCACCACAAAAGCGTCACCACCTTCTAAAGGGCAACCACCTGAAAGCCCTGCTAAAGAGTCAAAGAAGGAGAAGAGTCCTCCACCAGAAACGAATGAAGAAGAGCCAGAAGATGAGGAAGAGGAAGAGGAGGAGGAGGAGGAAGAGGAAGAAGAAGAAGAAGTTAATTCTGGGGATGACTGAACAATGCAAGGGGATATTTTTTTATATAAGTAGGGATAGAAAATGACTTCACTGACAGCTTGGTTCACAAGGTTTAGACACAAGACTTGTGTGTTTTTTCAGAGACTGTCCCTTTTTGTGTCCTGCAGACTCTACTAATAGAATCAAATCATTTAAAATTAGCTTGGCATTTTACGGGAGTTGCTTTGATCTTTTCAAAAGTAGGAACTGCAAACCTAGCACAGTGTCTCTTATTTTGTCTTTTTTTTTGCAATGGCAACATCATGTGAAGTTCTGAAAATTAGGCATCGTTGCAGAAGTATTTTTTGCCATATAAATATTCCTGAAGTATATTCAGATGAAGGCGAGCTCTTTAGCACACTGCTCTTATTCAGAAACTAAGTTGCAGCATCTTTGCATTAGCTGCAAAGAGGACACACTAGATGCTGACTTGTACAAGTACATTTATATAACGAGCAGATCATTCACCCTTTGAACACTAGCTACAAGTTAGCTATACATCATTTTCTTAGTCTCCATCGTACTATCTGTCCTTCAAGTGGATTTATTTCTTTGAAACATTTGACAGCAAAATTATTTTTTAAACTGAGAACAAGATCAAAAGCTCCTGTAAATATAACAACAGCTGAACCTTGTAAAATGTAGGTGCTGTACATACATGTAGCCAAATGACCTAGAAATTTAGATGTAGCTTCATTTTAAACATAGGTGTAGATTTTGCTTACAACCATTTTTGAATTGTAAACTTAAAGTAAATGTGTGTTCTGGTGACCTAAAGAAAGGCATCTGCCATTTACAACAATGCTAACTCATTGATTGCCTTCTGACTCCGAGTATATTATCTAAGTTTCTGAAATTATCTCATAACATTGTAGTTTTTCACAAGCAAATCATGAGTTGAGTAAGTATGATGAACACCAAGTGATCTTGAACCGATTCCATCCAATTAATTGAAGGTGTAAACCCTGTTGCATCTTTTCAGTTTAGCTAAATATCAAGCAGTCACAAATGAGTGGTGCACAGTCCATTTCAGTCCAACTGTTGAGATTTATTTAGTTACTTTTTCAATTATTTTAGTGTTACGAGATTTTTTAAGAAAACCTGAATATTATATTTTTAAAGAGGTCTTAAACTTTTTTGTGTCTGCCTAGATTTAAATAAAACATTTCAGGACCTAGAAGGAAACAATCTTTTATAGTTCAAATCTAACTGGTTCTCTTACATGGGCAATTTTGCTTTGCAAGCAATGAATGTATCTAAAACAGTATGGTCAAGCTGTTCCTAGTAAGTGAGTAATAATGAGATGCTCTAATTCTGAAAAGCAATCATAAAATTATAATTTCCATTTGTATCTTCAATACTTCAAAGATATAATACTGAAAACAAAGAAACCAGAAAAAAAAGACTGCACACCACCAAAAATCACTTGAGTCGTCAGGTCTGATCTTGTGAACTGAATTGTATTTTTTTTTTTTTTTTTTTTGCAGATTGAAATGTTTAAAAATGAATGTGATTGAATCTTAAAAAAAAAACTGCGCAATTGTTTATCTGTATCAGCATTTTGTTAATGCAGCCATTTCTTTGTAACTTACAAAAAAAATCCTGTACAGCCAATTCTTATGATGTTAACATTCAATTTCACGTGGGCTTTCAATTTCTTTGGTTTTTATTTTCGCTACAGAACATTAAATGTCTGCTGGTGTAAAATAGTTTCTCTAATCAATTCTTTTGGGGGTTGTGAAAGGGATTAATAAAATTGCAGGGAGAGAAAAGATATTTGAAATATTACGTTATATTTGGAGCATTGCACCTACGAACTGCTGCCGATTTAGAAATCTTTACTCTTGCTCAAACCTATTAGCTGTAACAATGATTCTCAAACTTTTTAGGTTGAAGGATACCTTTACCTTTTCTTGAAATGGTTTGGTAATCATGGATCCTTGTCTAAATTATACCAAATAATATGAAAGAGCTGCACACACAGAATATTTTAATAATGCTTTTCAGAATCTGGCTATATGCAGGTATCAGTAAGATGGATGTGTCCATTACTCCAGTTTGGAAGATATCTTTTGAGGTTTTCCTGTTGGTGAGGAAACTGACTAACTGTGTGCTGCACATGCAGCAGTCCTATTGTACTCTCAGCTCACTGAGCTTGCCTCTGACTGCTACTCATTTTCTTGTTGTTGACCGCAATGCCCTCCACGACAGTACATTCATTCATTTTGCAGACCCCCAAAGTCAACAGACCCTACTATAAGAACTAAGCAAGAATGTTTGATGATCGCTGACTGATTTTGTAAACCTATATCATCTCTTTAATACTGTTTGAAGCTGTGCTTGTTTGCATAGTATAAGATATTCATTTCCTCCACCCCACCCTTATTTCTCTTTCAGAGATCATAATTGTTTTCAGCTTGGAATGTGTTCCTATACATGCTGTATTTTGTGGAAGATTAAAATACTTAACTCCCCTCAGTTATATTGCAGTTAGCTTTGACTGGGCAACCTATTCCTTTTTTATTTAAAGAAAGAGAATTTCTAATCTAGCATGCCAGATGGTGATAACTCAATATTTCATTGCTTTATAGATTTTTAACATAGAAAATAGGAGCAGGAAGCAATTTGGTCTTTCAAGCCTGCTCTGTCATCCAGTGCGATTATTCAATATTTTGGTGTCAGCTGCCTTCTGTAGCAGAGAATTCCACAGGCTCACCACTCTTCTGCTAAAGAAACTTCTACTTATCTTGGTCCTAATTTGCCTGCCCCATTTCCTTAGATTGTGCCTCCCTGGTCATTGGGAACACAATTCCTGCATTTACCCTGTCTAGTTCTGTTAGAATTTTATAGGTTTCCGTGATATTGCCCCTCATTCTAAATTCCAATGCTTAGTCTAACCAACCCAGTCTCTTGTCATGTCAGAAATCAGATGACAACAGGTTTATTTGAAATCACAAGCTTTCGGAGTATAGCCCCTTCATCAGGTGAGAGAGAAGCACATAGACACCGAATTTCTCGGCAGAGATCAAAAGACCATACAAATGGTGTGAGTGGAGTATCAAATAATAAGTCTCTGCAGGTGATCAAAAGTGTCAGACAGTGAGTAAAATGGCAGCAGCTGAATAACAAGTGAAGGGATAACCTATAATCTGATTAAATGAGGCAGAGAGATAATTACAAAAAATTAAAAATAAGGTGGTGCTGGAGACAAACTAAATGATAGAATAACGTGATAGGTGTAAGAGTCGCATGCCGAGAGTCTAATTAAAGCAGTAAGTAATCCAAAACTGTACAAACTAAGGTAAAGAGATCATTATCAATTTATCAAGCTGATGGTGTGAAAAAGGACTGTAAGGAAGATTTTACAGAACAGTGTGGTGGAG